CTCTCTCTCTCTCTCTCTCTCTCTCTCTCTCTCTCTCTCTCTCTCTCTCTCTCTTTCTCTTCATATATATGGAAGGCTGTATTAAAAATGCATAGGGTTAGGAATTCATAAAGTCGTACAGTAATGTTCTCAAACTGATAAAGATTCAGGAGACCAGTGTGTAAACTACCATCTACAAGCTCCTGCATTATTAATAAAAATATCCACCAGTTCCATGGTTCACACTTAGAATGAAAATAAAGAACTCTCTGCCCAATGAACTTTTAGATGTGAAATAGTTCAGTTGCTGGAATTCATCCTTTTCTTCTCAGTAAATCTTGCTAAAGAGAACTCTGAGAATCGTGCTTGAAAAAAAATCACTTTCACTTCAGGCTACTCTCAAAGGAACTGATACTTCTTCCTTGGTTAGCAATACCCCCCAGTTGATCAGATGCTTTGTACGACCTTTGCAAATCTTACCAATAAGAATGAAGCCGACCGCAATGAGGTATGTCAGCATGTAACCCCTGATCGGTTCATTGTTTTTTCCATAGCCCTTTCCGAAAAAACTGATGGCAGGGTAGAGTTGATCCTTACAAAGACACTGTTGGGAGATGAGAGCCACAGTTTATGCCAAGTTCCCAAGTGCTCATGAATTCCCACAACAATTAAGACTTTCCTTGTGCAGAAAGTTCATCATCTGAGGCTAGGGAAGGGAAGGTTGGGGTTTTCTCAGTGGCAACACCCAAATTAGAGAATTAGCACACTCAAGTTAGCAAACAATCAAGTAGTAAACAGTACCCTAATCAAGGAACTACCAACTCAGACAAACAATCAAGCAGTAAACAACAGCCTAATCTAGGAACTACCAAAGGAGAAAAAACAACTCCCCCCCCAACACTGACAGGGCAAGCTTCTGCATATAAGCAGAGAGCAAACCCCACACTCACCAGCACTGATGATGTTACCTATAATGAAACGTCTGCAAGCAAACAGCCAAGCTCAGAGAATCCCAAGGACTCCACAACCTTGAGCTACAGATATTCTCTTCTATTAGTTAGCACACTAAATGGTATGCTTGGAACCTTCATTTATATGTCAGAATCTGGGCTATACTGTAGAATCATAGCTTCTCTCTAGCTTTTAATCAAGTCTCCTTTTAGCTTGAACATATACCAATAGCATTGTCCTAATGTCTGTTGGCTGTTCCCTATTTTTCTATATTGCTGTTGTCTGCTGGTCATCTGAGCACATCCATTAGCAAACAGGATACAAATCTTCCAGTCAGTAAAGACAGAAGCAAACAAATGACATCAGCAGGGGGATTGAAGTGGGGTCAAAAAAGAAATACTTTTTATTTCCTCTTTTGAATCCCCCGCCCCTTATCCCTGGCCAACAACTAATGGCCTAGACTGCAGCATTCAGATTCCTAAAGATGACAAACATTCCAGATATATTGATTTACAAAAGCCCAAGGCACAATGATCTATTACTGGAGTAGCTGATAATCTATTGTGGCTCTGCATGTTTCACACAACTGAAATTGTTCTTTCCCTGTTTTTTCCTTGATTGCCTCCTATGTCAAAATTCAATTTGTAAATTTCCAGATGGCAGCTTTTCTTTTGGCTCATGTTACTCTGAAAAGCCACATCAGAGAACAACAGCCAGGTGACCATGGCTGATCTCAGAAGCTAAGTAAGGTCAACTGGGTTTAGTATGTGGATGGGGGAGTCTCGGGGAATTCTAGTGCTGCTGGCTAGGCTACCTTATGGAAAAAATTCCTGGAAGAAGGCAATGTCAAACCACTTCTGTATTGCTGCCAAGAACCCTGCTTAGATGCAGTCACCATGGCATCTCTTCTACACAACAAGAGTTGAGCCTGACCCGGAAGTATTTTCACCTCTACTCTGGAAAACTCTGGCTGCAGTGGCCAGAAAGTTCTGTCCATCTTCTTCAAGCTTGTACCTTCCAGAAGGTGGGACTACACTTCCTATCATTCCAGTCAGCAAGATGAGGGTGGCCAATTGGGGATGATAGGAACTGCAGTTCAACATCTCTAGAGCGCAGCAGTTCTGCAAGGATGAGCATCATAAGAAATTATGGCTTCTAATCTTTGCTTCTCCCCCAGCTTCTACACTTGATCCTTTGTTCTACATTCCCAGTGGCCAAATTTCATTCATTCTTCTTTTGGTTTACTAAAGATCCTCTGAATAATTCCTCTCAAGCAGAAGAAATGTCCAAAGCACTTCGCAGATTCATATTCATTATTTTTAATTCGTATGAACATTTATGTGTTCAATTTATATGCTATCTTTCCCAGGAATTAATGAGGGTGTACATTTATCTCTGTGACAACTCAGCCTAGGTAGGTTGGATTGAGACCGGAACAAGTAAAAGGCTAGCTGTGAGATGTATGAAAAGTTTGACAATCCTTATTTCATCTTCACAACACCCATGGGGAAAATCCTATGTCTTCCCATTTTACAGAATGACACAACTAGCTGTCATTAGTTAACACTTCTGGAGGACTAGACAATTGTGTTTGGAGCTGAAGCTCCCTCCTGTAAAAATGCATACTTCATTAAGTTTTCCATCCATCAGATTTAGGGAGTTGGTGGGCTTGTCAGAAGCCTCACAATCAATTAAATAGTTAATCTGCTTGCTTCATTTCTGCCATTATGGAAAGGGGAGGGGGGAAGAAAGAGTAATGAGAATTACTTTTATTGGGAACTGAGCTTGGCAGATTCTTACAGGCCTCCTCCTTGTTAGAGGTGTTCAAGAAGAACATGGATGGCCATATTTCTGGCATGTTTTTGCCTGAGATCATGCTCTGATAAGAGCTTCCCCTTGGTGGCCTCACTAGACTCTTCCAACTCTAGGATTCCATGGCCAAAATGGCAACCTGATACTGGCAAAGAGGGGAGAGTTTTATTGTCTTGTTTGACAGAGCAATAATGCATCTCACCTGGAAGACTTTGGGGGCTGAGACGAGGCAGGCCAAAGCAGAAGAGAGGGTGGCCCCAAAAATTCCAGCTGTGATGAGAGGGGCAAAGCCAGAAACCATGCTCATGGTCTACAGGACAAGCAAAAGGTGGACAATCCCATCTGAAATGTGCATTGTGCATACAGAAAAAGGTGTTCCCTCCCCCCATTGTGGTACTAATGGATGTAACAACAGTTTCAGAAGTCAAGGCTCGCTTCCAGGACAATGATAGTCCCAATTATTGTGTTTTACCTTTTCTTATAAGATTGAGCAGAAACAGAGAATGCCAACATACCAATGATTATGATGGGATATTTCAGGTGCCAACTTTGAGCCCAGTCTTGTTTTTTCCTTTTCTGTCATCAAAAATAATTGCAACCAACCACTAATTATTAGTAAAAGAGTTGGCCTAGACAAAGTTCATTTGGCTTAGTGTATCCACCTGGACAAACCCTGGTTGAAATGGGGACGTCCTTCAAAGCAAGCAGGTTTTTTGGTTTTTGGTTTTTTTACCATTGACCCCTGTGCTCCAGCACCCTCTGGTCATGTTCTTGCTCCAGATAATGCTATTCATGATGGCCTGAGAAAGTTTTTGTGTCACTGGAATATTCTTTATATTATTATGGTTGTTATTTAGGTTGATTAAGACTGTTATATTGGTTCATTGTATGCTGTTTGGCTTTGTACCATTCAAAGCAGTATACAGGTAGTCCTTGTTTAGCAACTGCCTCATACAGCATCCGTTTGCCATTACCATGGTAATGAAAAAGTAACTTTGTGAACAATCTTCGCATTTACGACCTTCGCAGGTCTGTAAAGCAAAGGAAAGCTGAAATCAGATCATAAGCACAGTTGCAGTTTCACTTAGCGATCACTGCACTTAACAACCAAGTTGCCTATCCCAATTGTGGTCGCTAAATGAGGACTACCTGTAAATACCTGAAATACATCTCCTTCAGCTTCCTGTTCATGGGACCTGTCCACATGATGAACAGTGAGAAGAGCAAAGGAAGAAGCTGCCATTTGTTATATCCAGAACCTGGGCCTTTGGAAAGTGCCTGGGGGTACAACAAATGGGGAGGTGATATCTCTGAATTGGTCTGGGAGAAGGAGAAATGGCTGAACCATTTCTCAGGAGCAGGGCTCCCCCTTATCACTGACAGTAACACCGTGAGTGAACACACCCCTCCCCTGGAGGAATTCCTTCTTGATGCCTTCCTTGGGGATTGAATGGAAGCATGAGAAGCCAGAGAAGCTGCAGGAGAAGACCTTGCAGTGAAAACCAGAACTGTATCTAACTGCGATGATGCCGAGGGCTGAAACATATTTTGCGATGTCATATGCAAGTTCCACCCTTTTGTGCTTCTGACACAGACAAATACATAAGGGGCAAAGTTTGTGCCATGATGTACATTTCATCATTGCCCCCAACCCCACCTCACGGAGCACACTTATGCATTCACCTGTACTGCTTGGCTACTTCATAGCTAAATATGTACAAGAACACCACCCTCTACCCGGAAGCATTGATCCAAAGCTCTCTTCTCAAATCTCTGTCATCAAAGCAATGAGAACAGAAAAGTACAGGAGAATTTCTGGGCATGGCGTGACTCAGAGCAACAGGTCACAAAACAGATCCCAGGAACATGGTGTGATCAGGAAAAAGTGGCCACTGGGAACATCTCACTCAAGCTCCCTCTCCAAACTTGGAGTTTAGGGAAAGACTTCTGCCTGAGAGTCTGGAAAATGGTACACTCTGTTGAGCTATGGGAACCAGAGGTCTGGCTAGTGCATTTAGATATAGAGGTCTATGGGTGAATGAGATTTCTTAGGGATTCCAGTGAATCCAGAGCAAAGTATTGACTCCAGGTGGGCTACAGAACCTCCAAAAGTCAGCATTAAAGTATTATTTATAAGGCAACCCAGAGGAGAATAAATAAATATATGGGGAGTAATTATATTTATTAAATTATATTCACTTAATTTAATCAAATTTAAATGCTGACCCAACCTAAGTACTTCTTTGTCCTGGGTCCATGCACTATTTTGACTTCCAGCGTGCCAAGTGAGATCCTTCCACCAGTAAGTATGATACCCTTGTCTATAATTCTACTGAAACCAACAGTAATAGATTCAGCCAATGCATCTGGGGCCATCTGAAGTTTCCACTACCAAATTGGTAGGTTTGGATTATACGTAGTTTGGAAAAGTTGCATGCAGAAAAGAGACACTACATTTGACTCCAAAATCATCAGGGTTTTAAATACAATATAGGAAATACAACTTCTCTTCCTCCTGAAAAGTGATCAAACTCATACCTGTGGTGGTGGGGAAGCTGTTGTAGTGAACTCAGGAGGGAGTTGACTAGATTATCACCTTCCAGCCCTCACACTCTACAATTCTGTGATTCTGTACCTGGTAATAATTGAGGAGCCCATAGTGACAGCTGTGGCTCTGAGCACACTCTGTGAAGTTCCAGCCATAGCCACAAGCAATGCCTTCACAGGTCATAGGACGAGCGAGAACTGTGTCATTAATGCTTCCAGAGGCATCACGGATAACGCACGAGCCTAGGAAGAACCATTAAGGTTAATTCCCTACTTCTTTCCCATTCTGTTTCAAAGGCATACTTTTATGAAATCTCTTTTATGCACTGTGCTTTCACATCAGCTAGTACAGAAAATCTAAAGAAGCTGAAGAGGCTCCCAGGCCATGGAACAAATGTTTGTGGGACTTCCCATCATGTTCTCTGGTTGCTCCCTGCCCTTAGGCTGGGAAGCATTTTCAGCTTTTTAGAAGACGTTGTAGAACCAAGACCATGGGAGATCAAGACCCATGGGAGGGAGAAGGGATGGAAATTAATATTTTTATATCACCAAAAAAGTAGAAATCCAAGACAAGACAGCACTGTATGCATGACATAGTTCTGCTTGGTGCAACAACCAGATTGAAATGTTCAAGTTCCCACTTGTTTCATCATTTTGGAGAGTCTAAAATTCAACCTGAAAACATCTGTGTATCTAAATACTTGTAAATTCTGCTCATGTTTCCTCTTAGGAGTGTAACCAAATGCAGATCCCCATGCATTTATTCCCAACCCCTGTCCCTAGCCTCATTCAGCTATTTTGCCTGCTAGTGAATTAGAAAAATGACAAAAGCTTTGCATGCCTCTTGGTGATGCTGAGTTTACTCCATACAAATTTTGTCCTAATACATATAATTATACCTGTTCATAAACATACCAATTGTAGCTGAAAGAACCAGATATGACACAGTTGTCCAAAAAATAGCCATGAGGGTTCCTTTAGGAATTGCTACTGCAGGATCCTGGACAAGGAAATAAATGACAATTTGACAACTCACTTCTACTGACACTCTCCCCCCCCCCCCCCCCCATATTCTATACAATACTGTATTATGGTCTTTAAAATTGGCGGTCAAGTAACTGGGCTTGGACCAGGCAGGAGTGGCTGGGGAGGTGATGCTCAAAGAAGTCAAAACGGTGACCGTGCAGCTGAAGCCCTACCTCTGTGATGCATTTAAAAATGGGGTGGAGCTTTGACTGCATGGTCGTGGCCATCATCTGGATCTTTTTGACACTCCATCCCCCCATCGATGCCCCTGAGAGCAGGATAACCCAGCTACAAGTTCCTACATGACTGTGGAGCTCAGAAGGTGACTTTGGGACAATCCTTCTCAGTCCAGAGTACCTTGGAGGGTGAAGCTGGTTTGTTGCAAGTTTAAAATTGCGGGACCTTGCAAAGACACTGTCTTCAGCTCCCCAAGGCAAAGCGAAATATTAATGCTATACCTAAATATAATAAAATTCATTTGGGTCTCAGGACAGTAGTTCCTCCTTGTTATGCTGAAGTTCTCTGCACTATCCTGGAGTCCTTGAAACCATTCCAACATGAACAGGATTCATTGCTGATCCTTCTCCTATCTTGGCTGCTTCTCTTCCCCTTCACTATACTCCAAAGTTTGGGGTGACCAAGCCTAACAAATTTCATATACTTGAGATTCCCCTGGATATGTTGAAATAAAGGGAGGGAAATGGCATTAACTTTGGTACAGCTACAGTTGATTTAAGGCTGTCCCACTCACAGGCTTGGGGACAAGATGAAGGCAGCATCTTGGGTTCAAGCAGAAAAAAAATGTTGCTAGGGCATGCGAGTGCCATAGTTAGATGAAAGCGGTGAAAAGTTACAAGTAAATCTGTCATTCATTGACTGGGATATTGAAACAATTCAATGACTCCCCTACAAACTAGGTTTCAAATTTTTGGCAAGTTGCAAACAGTCAGGGTCATTAAGCAAATAAGCCTTAGTTCTCCTAAAACTAGATATCCCAAGTTAAATAATGGCTCCATCCATTCCTAGGACAGCCCACCAGTTATTGTGGCATGAGGTTCTTGACATTCTCTTTTTCTTGATAGTTCGCCTGCAAACATTGAGGCACACAGATGACACCAGCTCATCCAAGGTGCCCCATCTGGCCAGCTACCCCTTCTCCTCCCTGTAGCCCCAGCCAACCTGGCCTACCTTCAAATCACCTGAAATGTTGGCTCCTGCCAAGATGCCAGTGGCTGATGGGAAAAAGATGGAAAACAAACTGAAGAAGCTGCCATCAGGCCCCCGCCAGTCAGGAACAAAGTTCTGAGCAAAAATGTTGGCTGAAGGTAAAAGAATACAGGGATCAGGTTTGTAAAGTTATGCTTGCACTTAGGGATGTCCATGGAGGGAGGGGGGTAAAAAAGTCAAAAGGGCAACCGTGTTCATGCAATCAAAGCCCTGCCTCTTGAACACATAAAATGAAGGGGCATAGCTTCCATCATGTATTTGGGGCTGCCATCTTGACTTTTTTGACCCTCCCTGCTGCTGCGCCAGCTTGAACCCCTTTTAAAGTATTAATTGTTTATTCATCCATCAAAACTAACAGCTCTAAATGCAATTTTTTTAAAAAGTCTGATCCAAAGTCTGGGAAAGCATCTGCTAATCAGAGCACACAAGTCTCTCCAACCCCCTCCGCTTGTCCCCACCCCACCCTTGCACCAAATCAAAGTGTCCTGGAGCTTTTCAGCTGCAAATTGTCCCTCCCGCTCACCTCGGTAGCTGAAAAATCCTTTGGCCTGCTTCTCCTCAGTGGCTGGAATAATCGTCCCCACAATGTAGTTGATAAAGGAAATCATGATCACAACGAAAAAGAGAACTTGAGCCTTGCAAGACCAAAGAAACAACATGTGAAGGCAGTTTGTAGAGTTCAGATCAACCTTCCCAAATCTGATCTTCTTCATATAGCCAAGTCCATCATCACTAGCTTAGATGGCCACTGCCTTCTCCCAACCCAGTACCTCTCTGGGTATTGGACTACAAACCCCATCATGCCTAATCTAAGTGACCATCTAGGTATGTTTGATGACAGCACTCATTCTGTCCATGATGGACAGATGGGGACCATCTCCCCATCCACTTGGGAGCTCTTCAGAAATGTTGGACATCCCCCACCAACATGACAGCTAACTTCTTCCATCTTGATACTCTCAGCATATTCATTTTTAAACTTCCATCTTTCTCAGCCAGTATGACAAAATGACTTTCTCAACTTGGGTTTATTTAACTCAGAATTCAACAAAAGGGAAAGAAGTTGGTGAGGAAGGGAACAGTTGCTCCAATTTTGGGTGTGGGAGCTAAAATGGGTGACAGGTCAAAGTCTATGCCTTTGTGATCCAATTGCTCTTCAATTACCAGCCTTCCCCCATTTGAGACCTTCCAGATGTGGCTGGGATGTAATTCCCCAAATCCTTTGCCAGTCTTGGCCAATACATCTGAAGAATGTCAGTCTATGAAAACTGAATCTACAAAATATTGCCCTCCACCTATTTTTGAAAAGCTACCTGCAAGATTTCAGTTCAGACCTCTACCCAGAGTAAGCTCCTTCTCCCCAGTTTGTAGCAGCAGTGGAAGGGGGAGAGGGTAGGGGTTTCTAAAAGAGGTTGAACATGAGTGGCCTCCCCTATCTGTAGGTCTGGTCCCACACTTAGTGGAGTTGGCCTTGCCCATTACTGACCTACAACCTGCTCTACAGATGCTTCCTCCCAAATCACCCTAATCTTCCCCATTTCCCACAACCACATAGTTACCTTGGCTTCCCACTCCATCCCAGCCAAGGAAACTCCAAGCAGCACCGTCACAGTAACAACCCCAATGATGCGGATGTCATTGGTAGGGTCCACCAAGCTTGAGTTATATTCCTTTGGAGAGAAAAACGCAACCATCAGTCACCTGCAAATCTCCTGAATTGGACCAAGAGACTGTCTACAACCTTACAGCTGGAACTCAAAATTAAAGAAAGCAGGAAGACCTGACAGATTCCTAGGCCAGGTTAAAGAGAGTTGAAAAGCCAGCATCTGAATAGAAGTGCTCAACAGCAGAACAGATATTTCAGCTGCATAAATCCTAGAAGGCAGAAGCATTCCTTGATCCCTGGGAAGGAAGATAGTATTAGGAAGAGGCTCAGGTTGGCTCCTCCCTGACTCCGTGGGGTATAAGAGGGAGGGGAGGAAAAACACAAGCAGACTTGCAAGATGCTGTTAATATAGCCCATTTAAATAAAGCTTAGTTCTAGTCTTGTGGAGTTGGTTTCCTAATTTGGACAGCCTTGAAGGGCTGAGAGATACTGCTTTCTTCTGGGATGTCTTTTTGACTTCCCAATCTTGCCTAGTCTATACCTCTATCTCCCATCCAAATACTAATCTCCTTCTTCAAAATCAGTCTTGGCTAGGTGCTGTCTCCCATGACCTGAAGCGCAGGAACAATGGAAACATGAACCAATCTAGATAGGTAGTCACCTCCCCAAGCCATCTGGAACTTCCCAACAGCTTCTTCCATTGTGAGTACACCTTACCTGCAGCAGGTCCCGCACTGTTTCTGCAAAGCCCACGGTATGCATAGCCACAGCCACCGCATTGGCAAAAGCAAAGATGAGACCAATGGAGCCGCCCAGCTCTGGCCCAAGACTTCTTGAAATGAGAAAATAAGTCCCACCTAAGAGATGGGAACAGTGTAATTGGCACACTCACTTTTCAAATCATCACCAGGCAGAGAAATTTACCTGCATGTTTTCCTCATTCAAATTATCCTTCAGTTTGATGAAAAGAGAATTTTCTGTTTTCAAGGGGGGAGGGGGTAAAATCTGGAGGAATTTCTCATGGGTGGTTTGTGATGTTCCTGTACTTATTTAGAGACACAAGGGCCAAATAGGGTCTGTGTGACTGCTTTTGGGTGATGCCTGATATTTAGTGTAAATGCAGCTACTGAATCTTTAATTGACTAGGTTAAGGCAGGATTATGAGAGATGTAGTCCAAATAGCTGGGAGTGCACTCGATGCACACCCAATGGTTTTGCTTGTTGTTTGGCTGCTGAACAAATTGCTACCTGATTTGACTTTGCCGTTGGTAGAGATGGCAGAAATGGACAATCCTGTGATGGTGGTCACGGTCACAGACATTAGAATGATCACCCATGTCAGCGCTGCAAAGTGAAGCAAGTCATCTCAGTTATCTTGTGCCAGAAGGCATTCACTCACCTGGGGCTCTCCAATTTCCACTCCCTTTTCCTTCTCTATCCTGAAGCATCACCATATTTTCAGAGTTCACTTCACCCCCTTTGCTTTCTTGGGCTACGATGTCAATGATTTGCCTTTCATATTTGGTGAATTAAAACTCTTTACTTCTGGAGAAGCTATCCTGTCTTCCTTGCAAGATAGCTTGCAAGTCAATGGAAGGAACCTTTTGGAGAGCCATGAGCTACTCAACTGGTGGGAAGGGTAGAGCGTGGGACTACACAGTGAGAAGTCCTAGGATTTGGAAAAACCTGTGATCTGGTGGAGTTGGAATTTACCCTGCAATTTTCAAGGGTTTCCCAATGAGAAATGGTGAGACGCTGGTATCTCAGCATTCATGATGCTGGTATCTCAGCATTCATGATTAAAAGAGGCTTCAAAGATCACAGAAAGGGGATGAGAAGACAAATGAGACTCTTACATTTCCCACTCCAGCACAGTGGCAATGCTGCTACCTAGAGCACTTTCTGAAATTGCGTGCACAATTTATTTTGATTTAAAACACATAGTTTCTGGGTCCTACCAGACCAGCCTCTATTCTCCTCCTCTGGAAGAGGGAGAAAGAATTCCCCAAGTGCCAGATCAACCAACCCAGTTACTGATGATCCAAAGGATTGTTCATGGAATTAGAACAGGAGAACAGCAAAAGAATTGGATGGGACTTACCTATCCCTGCTTGGCCAGTGATCCAAGGTAGCCGGAGGTACAGAATCACACCCCAGATGTTAAGCATACAACGGATCTAGAAGGCAGGAGCAGCAGCTAGTAACTGGGAAGGACCACCGAAGAAAGGCCCTCAAGGAAGGCCAGAGATCAGATGCTAGGAACAGTTCAGTTAGCTGCATGAGATAATGTACTACCTTACAGAATCTGCTTGATGGTTGCACCACCGGGGAAGAGTTTTCCCTGGTTGTGTTGAATAATCTGCAGAATCAGTTGCTTTGGGGATGAGAGAGTCAGACAAGTAGAGGGGGAGAGGAAAAATATATCTAAATATCTATTTTAGAAAATAGAATGTCAGGGAAAGAGCCCTGGAGCTTACCCGGGGCTTGTGTCTCTCTGTTTTGTGGTTTTTCCTTTCTTTTTTGAATATTATGGCAATATTAACATTGATAAAAAATTAATGCAATTTTTCTCCACTATGTTGTCTTTTGTTCTGGTTGTTTTGGCGTTTAAGGTACATTCAGTGGCAGGGTGCTATAGCTTTAAGAAACTGTAATGTTGTGGCTTTGGAGATTTAACTCTAATTTGTACCCCTGCTTTGCGACTGTTAAAATTATATAATGAGAATCAGGTAATAGATCTGATCAATAAATAAACCAGTTGTCCTTTAAATGAGACCACGCTGCTTCAGGATGGTGGAAACTGTAGCCCAAAACATTAAGGGGGTTGGAAAGGCTCCTGTGAGGTTCAAATGGGTCTATGAAAGTTACTTACCATCACTCCCTTAACCCACCCAAATCGGACGGGCTCCCCTTGGGGCTTCTTTCTCCCCTCAGCAGCCTCTTCTTCTGCCGTTTCTTCTGAGAAGCTATTGTTTCTGTGGGGTTCATATCTTGGGGGGTGCAGGTGGCTATTTTCTTGCTGGAAAAACACATGGACACAGACAATAACAGCAACTGATTTGCTAAGGGGGAAGGGAGGCAGGACTGATCCTAGGCTGAAAAAAGCCTGGAGAATGTGGGGGTGTCAATATTCTTGAGAAGCATCAGGAACAATAGGATGATTATCTCAACGTGTCTCCCTTGAAGGACTTCACTCTAAAAACAGAAAGAACATGTGAAGAGGCTCAGGAGAAGACTGTAGATTTATAGCTTCAATTTTAGGAAGGAAATGGCGGAGCAGAACTTCCATCTAGAAAAGACAGTATCAGCAGCCCTGGTCTTAAAAAATATACTCAAAATATATTGCCAAAGGGCAAGCTAATCGCTGTGTCAACATGAGAGTCATCAAGGATTAGTATATAAGAGTGGCCTTCCACCCACTGATGCTGCAGACTGGAATCATTTGCCTCTGGTGGTCAGTTTAGACAATCATTAGGGTGTGTCATTTGACTCCCATCTAGTGGTAGTCCAGATTTTTGCAGCCCAGATCTTCTGACCCTCATCATCTCTTCTACACTGTCTTCTATTCCTAGACCTTTGAGTCCTTGGTGCAGATAATCCTTCAGCCTTGATGAATAGGGATGTTATGTTTTCCTCAACTTCTCAATTTGAGCTTATAAGAATTGGGCTACAAGATATGGGCTATAAAAGTTTGGAGCCCCACTAAATGGGGTAGCACTGCCCCAGACAGACCCAGTGCATAATTTGGGGGTCTTCCTGGACTCACAGCTCCTGCTCAAAGAGCAGGTGGCAGCCACAGCCAGGAGGCTTTTTGCACAGCTTCGGGTTGTGCACCAGTTACACCCCTTCCTGGATTGGGATGCCCTTCGAATGGTCACTCATGCCCTTGTTATCTCC